ACAGAGAGACAGAGAGAGGATGTGGTGTCTTGCCTTTATCAGGGCTCACCAAACATGAATTTCCATTCTCTCAGTCCATAATCTGGAGGATGGGCTGGCCGGGAAGAGGCCGATGTAAGCATCAGAAAGTAGAAATTGATGGAAACCAGATACATTCTCTAGACCAAGGTCATTATAGGATTAATAGAATAACTGGGATAAATACACATACACACACACACACACACACACACACACACACACACTCATAAACCAGACTAAAACAAAACATGGTACAAATAGGCTTCCCTTCATCTCACACATCTTCAATTCTGTGTTGTACTAGATCAGGCAAATGGCCATCCTTTTGGAAATGACCTCTCCTAACTAATAATCTTACAGCCCAGATTAAGACAATGCTAGAATATAAGATCAGCAGGGGTATAGCAGTTTGGGTGCTGTACAAAGCTTACACACATTACTATATTCAAAACCCATAATAATCCTGGGAAGAAATCAGGGCAGATGTTACTATCCCATGCCGCCCCCCTCAAAAATAAGACTAGTCATATTGCCCTTGATTCTCTCAAGACTACTATAACATTAGAGGAATAGTTGTAGAAAAAGCCAAATTCAACTTGTTTCTGTACAAAAACAATAATTACTTTAAAGAAATATATCCTTAAATATAGAACAACAGAACCTTTAAGTGGATAATCCATCATCCCTAACCCACAAAAATATGGTTCTACTTTGATATATTGGTCAAAATTAATACATGCCAATTTTACTTTCTTTTATAGTCTGAAGAGAAAAACAATCTGACTTTAGACCCATGTTGCTCAGGATGAGGTCCCAGGCTCCTCATGGTCCGCAAAGATGGTATTGGGCATCTGCCAGCTATGCTTAGTATTTGAAAGAGCCTAACTAAAAATTTTATATTTTCTCTCACATAATTAGACCACCCTGACTAATTAAAGTCACAAATTTTTCTTTTGGCTGGAATTTTGATAATAGCAGAGATCACATGATGATCAGAGGTCCTGATTGGTCTTTGATGATACCACAGAAATTCTGAGACATGGAAGCAGGACCACACTGTGACTTCCACCCCATGCCCAACGAACTCAACTTCTAAACAGCTAGCACAGCAAGAAGCTCTGGTCATGAGCCTGGACCCTCCACCCCTTCAAGACAGAACTCTGCTGTCAAAGTCCATGCACACAGTCAAGCCAGGTAAAAGGAGTCCTTGATGACTAAAAGGCTGGGAGTCACTGGCCTACCTTTGGAGGCTATTGGTTTTCTGATAGAAATTCGGGGGTTAACTGTGAAGGGGTATACACTGATAGGGCTCTTTCCAGTAATGAAGTGAGAGATATTTCTCACCACAGATTAAGGAATTCTTGAGGCTCTAATAAAACACAATATAAGATGATTAACAGGAATTTTATCCCTCATGTATATGAATATACTTAAAATATTTTTACCACCTGTCATAGAGTATTAAAATGAATGCTATTAAGAGAAAGGAGGGTATTGGCCCCGCTGTTCAGAAGTGAGGGGTGAAGGGAGATGAGTTTTCATCGCCACTTCCTTTATGAGATCTGCCAACTAAAGTGGCAGTAACTGGATGAAGAGCACAGACTTTGGAGTCAGAAATGAGGGTTGGATTCTCATTTCTGCCATAATGAGCTGAGTAGTGCTGGGCACACAGTTGCTTAATTATCTCTGAGCTTCGGTTTCCAGATGAAAAATGTAGGTAATACCTCCCTCTCCAAAGAATGTGGTATTGCTGAAGGAGCACTGGGTTACAACTCAGGATTGCCTTCCTTCTCATCCCAGTTCAACCATTTACTTGAAGTGCATCCTTGGATAACTTGCCTAATCCCTCCAAGGCTTAGTCTTCTCTCATAGGCTGGTTTTGAGGATAAGAGATACTTCAGGTTGTAAATGATAAAGCCAATATAATAATGCAAATTCACTACCATATCAACATAGAACTTACGCTACATTGTTTTTGCTCAGGTTAAATATCATTTGGGACCAAATCTACAAAGAATTATCTTGTCTCTTTGCCTCCTGAAAGAGGGTAAATGTAATAGGTTTTTATTCCAGCTACTTAGTAGAGCCTGTGGCTCTATGCTAGCCGCTCTGTTTGAATGGCGTGGACTATAACCATCCTCAGCTCCAGCCAGTGAGGATTATCCCATCCCCTGTGCTGGTTACCAGTGCAGTTAGCACTGAGGTTCTGTTTCAATAGTTGTGAGGTGAGCCACTCTTCCCAACTGGATGTGAGTGAAGCATATAGCTCTGGCAGCTACTGGCAGCCATCTTGACACCAGTAGGGAAGAGTGAAGCCAGAGCTGAGAAAAATCACGGTGAAAAAGAAACACTGCTCTGATGATATCATGATCCTCTGGACTAAATCATGTCCAAAGCTAGTGTATTTCTGGGCTTTTTTGTTAGGGGAGGCAATAAATTTTCTTGAGTTTCAGGTTTGTTTTTTTCTGTTCTTGCAAGTAAAATAATCTTAGAAAATATATCACGTAACACTGAGTAAATTTCATTAACCCTCTAAACATCAGTTTCCTGGTCTATAATTGGGGGGGTGGGTAATAGAACACCTATCACATATGGGGCTGTAGTGAGGCTCAACAGTGCTTGAAAAATGCTTAGCACAGTGCTTGGTAAGCATTCAATAAATTGTGGCTATTTTCATTATGTTTGGAGCTCTACGCATTTTGCTAAATGCTTTCAGTACGTCATTTGCCTTAATCATCATGTCAGCCTATGAGGTAAGATCTCTTATCCTCATTTTACAAATGAATAAATGAGGGTAAGAGAGCTGAAGTGACTTAACTATCTTTGTAGCCAGGGTCCTATGGCTACAAAGAGGCAGAGATTTCATAAAGTATCTTTCTTATTTTTCATTATCCTTTGATTAGATGATGTTGAGTGTATGGTATTAGTAAAATACTAACTGAATACTCATAATGTGCCAAAAATTATTAGGTACTAGAGACATAGCAGTAAATATACATATTCTCTTTGAGTTTAGTTTTAGAGGGTGGTCCTACAACTACCCAGATTACAGGAGAGATTAGATTGAATTTGTGCCTTGTATTTATTGGCATCATGCTCCTAACCACTGAGCAACTAGCCAATGACACCGAAATCCTCTGGTGAAAAACCCTGACACTATGGTATGCAATTAAATGCAGAAGTTAGAGAGGTCTTCTCTATATACAACTTAGAGCATACGTATACATATTACATTCCAACTGCTATTCAATTTCTCTTAAAACCCTGAGCTGAAATGTAACATTTCTTTTACATTTATTGATCTCATGGTTTAAAAAATCTTTTTCATATGCGCTATAATGGTATTCTCTCTATATTTTCTCTGCTCTAACATGTCAACTTGTATATGTTTCCTAGGAAGTCTGAACAGTACAATTAGATGTGATAATGGGATGGAAGGAAAAGGAGACTAGGGCCTCCACTACACTATTTTTTTAGGAAATCTACAGGGAAATCTAACGGTGTGCTTTACTATTTACCCCTAGATGACATTCTCCAAATGTCTTTACATGTTAAGGAGTGTCTTTGACGGTACTGCAATCGCCAGGAGTGTGAACGACGACTAGAACAGTTCATTTGAACCTCCTCCTTATGAGTGTTGTCTTGTGTGCAGATCAAGAAATTCCTCACCAGCAATCTCCAGGAAGCCTGAAAAATTTAAAGTGCCCCTGAAATTCTCTTAACAACTAGGTAAATACTGTGTCTAAGGAAATGTGTCAGGACACATCCCAAATGAGAAGTCACCGGCTTTCAAAGGCAGGGGGAGAGGTTGTACTCTCCTAATCTGCCTCACCCAGGCTTTTCATGTAGTTTGCGAGAGAAGGGTCTGAGAGGAGGAAAGCCATCCTGCAGGTAAGTGATCCTGATTTTATTAGATTTTTACCTGTACTGAAGCCATACATGAGGAAACTAACACGCACCTGAGGATGGCGTTGGTTCCCTCTGATAGCTCAGCCTTAGATACCTTCGAGTTGTGGAGATGGACGGACATGCAGTCAGACCTAGGTTTGCTCTTTCTAGCTGAGTGGCACTGGGTGTACTACGTAACCTCTCCAATCCAGGTTCCCACTGGGAAAGGAGACTGCTGCAACCTACTTCATGGGGTCTGGGAATAACGGGCCCAACTCCGAGTAGACAATAAATGATCGTTTCTTTCCCCTTTAATTCTTAAGAAACTATGTAATATAATGTGTTTCAAGAAAAATGTCCCTCAACATCACTAGACTTCACCAGTTTGGGAGTACAAATAATTTTATACAAATAATACATTTTAGAAATTTATTTCCAGACTAATATAATACAGTAACGTCTGAGTACCACCAGGGATGTGTCTTGTGCTCCCTGACCCATCTTCTTCCAGCCTTTTGCTCATGTCGGCTGCCCAGGGGGATCCAGTTGGGGGCGACACCTTCCCTTGCCCCTCCTGGTGGTTCCCTCAATAAGAACAGGGTAGTTGCCTTCTCTGAGAACTCCGGAGATTCCCAAAGCATAGTATTGTGAAGGAGCCAAGATGACACAACTTTCTGTCAGGACTTCAGAACATCAGCAGCACACTGGGTCTGCAAGGAAATGACCCTCTCTTACCATTTTGTTTCTCACTTTGTCGCCCGGACCACGACGAGTACTACTTTTGCCTCCTATGAAAACAGCTTCTTTAGCTTCTGCCTACGTATCCCTTTTTCCCTCAGGGTCCATAAGCGAGGAGCAGGAAATTCTCCATCCCACGGTCCCCTATTCCACATAATCCTATCCCAGGGCAAATCAATTTCTGCAAACAGATGCTTTAGATTGTCAGCTTCCCAGTTCATCATAACCACCCAGACTCTGAACCCCAGTTTAGGCTCGGCTGGAACTCTCTCCACATTAAGAATTACTGCACATTCCGATTTCTCATCCACTAGAGGTCTGCCTTCCAAATGAAAAGCAAGTATGAGACAGAGTAAAATGTGTAATATAAATTTATTCTGTGACATTTTCCTCATTGAAGATACTTTAAAATAGATTAAAATACATCAATATTTCATGAAAATACCTAGAAGAATTTAGATAATACTTGTAATATACATGATTTGACCCTGAATATACATTTTTTTTATTTCAAACATCATTTTTAAAAAAATAACATAAAAAATGGTAACGAATGCTACATTCTTCATATATCCCATGTCTCATAAATTTTAATTCAACTGCCAGTTCTTTTCTCAACTATATATGTTAAGGGTATTTGCTTCTGTTGTTGAATGGTGAGAGTTTCCATTTTCTGTTTCTCAGCAGTGATTTTTAGGTCTTCTTTCTCCGATTCTTCCAGGAAATGCTTCATGCTGAGTTTGAATAGTAATCGAGGGTCTGGTCCAGAAAGTGGTGGGCAATTACAGATCTCTCTAATTTTAAGAGCCTATAAATAAAGAATACAATACAATATATATATTTATATATTTATAAACAAAATATATAAAATATATTTAATGTATTTATAATTTAAATTTATTAAAATTATTCCAGTAATTCCTAATATGCTCTTTGTAAAACAATGAAATATAAGAATATATTCTCTATTTTTGGAATAAAAGGTATCTTAATTATAATACATGAAAGAGAACCATACAGAAATTCATGGTACATAGTTACATTTTCATTATTTGTTCACATAGTAACATATTTGAAACAAACAAATCTGCAGTGACTGCCCGATGTCCTATTGGGGATAAACAAGCCTTCTTAGAGGTGTCTCTATGATTTCAGTCAAATAAGGCCTGTGAGAATACCCACCCAGATTTAAAAAGATTAAGACTCAGAAATAAAAACAATAGCATACAGAAATGTGAACATACTGAAAAAAGACACACATAACTAGGGCAGTCTGAGGAAGCACGGATGCTAATAACCCAGAAAGGTAAGCAAATCAAAACCATAATTTTTAATTCCAGGAAAAATAAAATGCGGTAATGCCTAAAATTGAAAAGTTAGGAAGTAGCAATAGAAGTATGTTTGTTATGTAGATACAGTGGGAAATGCCAAAAGAATCATTTAAGAGAGGTGAAGATGGTTACCTTTAAAAAATTGAGGGCAGGGTAGGGGGACTGCTGCTTTAAATAAGTAGACTTGGAGACCTAGATGATTCTTTAAAGTGGCTACATAAATGACTTTTAAGACACAAAAACTAATAGAAAATTTTTAAGGAAAAAACATTTTATATCTAAGGAGGGGTTAAAAGAAAGATATTTAGGGGAGGGACCTCGTTTAATTTTTTATTACTTCCCTTGACATGCATCACTATAAAAAAGTTAGAAGTAAAAAGCAGGGAAGGAGACAGTGTTTGTGGGGATAGTAAAATTTTGGAAAGATTAGCCCAGCGAGGTCTCACTGATAAAATAATGATGGTGGTGGGGAGGGGGTGCTGCTTGGAGGGGGGCTCAGGGAGGAGGGAAGGAGGCGGGGAGAGCTGAGGGACATGAAGGAAGAGGTCACATGGATACCTGGAAGAAGAGCGTTCCAAGAAGCACCAACAGGGAGCACAAGGACCTGAGATGGAAGCACGCCTGGACTGTTCTGGAACAGTGAGGAAGCTAGTGCAGCTGGAGCCAGGCAGGGGAGGGGCAGGAGCAGATTATGGAGGATCTCATGTGCCATGGTAAGGATTTTAGGTTTTACCATGAGTGGGCCTCCCCTGATATTTGTGGGGTCCATGGCAAGAACGTAATTGGAGGCTCAGATACCAAGTGTTTAAGTATCTAAAAGCGGTTAAGTCAAGCTAATAAACTACTATAGTGGCTCAGTCGGTTAAGCATCTGCCTTCGGCTCAGGTCATGATCCTGGGGTCCTGGGATCAAGCCCCACATTGGGCTCCATGCTCAGCGGGGAGCCTGCTTCTCCCTCTGCCTCTCCCCCTGCTTGTGCTCTCTCTCTCTCAAATGAATAAATAAAATCTTTAAAAAAAAATAAACTACTATAAAAAAAATGTTCTATTCCCCTACTTTGAGGAATACACATTCAAAATGACCCTGAAGGCTGGGTCCAAAATTAGAATTCTTGAATTCTGCAATGTGTAAGGTTGCAGGGAGCCTGCCCACCTCCTGCCACTGACCTACTGCCCACTCCCTTCTCCTCCTATCCCTGGCTTAGCGGGCACTGTGAGGGGCCTTGTGTGCATGTATCCAAGGGAAGAGATCCACACAGGCCCCAGAAGCAGGCTCAAAGGTGTTTGGGCAAGGAATTCCATTATCCCAAATACCCAGAGTGCACTGATAGGGGCACAGGTTCTTAGGAATATTCCTTCAAGTTCCACAGGAGAGGAAGGCATGCAGCCAGAGGCAAACCAGAAAAAGGTCTTCTAAATGGATGAGAGGCCATGGAAGAAGCTTGGATCTAGGAACACTTCTGATTCTGAAGGAGGTTATGAGTTACCAAAATAACTAACGAGGAAAAAGCATTAAAGTGAAATTCTGTGGTGACAGGGTCCTATCTGATTTTCTTTGTACCTCACAATCGTCCACTGAGCATTAAAAAAAATTTCATTAAACTGAAAAATCAAGAAAATGTTTCACAACTATAGCACTGAAGTAAACAGGAAGTCAGAGCCTCAGCTAAATGGCACCCTACTGTCTGAACCCAGCTACCTTTGAGAGTGGAAGCTATCAAGCTTTACACTGAGACATCAAGCACAGACTGAGACTGCCCTGGGAAAATGGGGACACACAGGCTACTCTTGCTTTAACTCCTTTACAGCCATGGTGACGTCCTTTTCCAAGGAGAAGCTGCTATGTGATGCCTACTTTATCCGTGCCTAAGACGTTCACTGGGGTCAGTAAAGGGGCAAGTGTGGAGTCCAGCAGGTAACAGCAGGTACGTCTGAGTGTAGCAAAGAGAAATGCAAAGCAGCAAACAAAGGGAAAAGCAGAATGCTATCAAATCTTTTATATTCAGCAAAAGCTCTTCTCTCTCCCCTAAGTTCTTTTTCAGTATTTTTACATTCAGCCAATATTTATAGAACACCACACTGAGTGAGGTGCTAGGCACACATCAGTCTGAATAAATACTCTTGATCCCTGCCCTCACACAATTTACTTTGCATTTCCCCATTATGGGGCATTTGAATTGTTTCCATCGTTTTGTTTTATTTGGCTTTAATAAATTACCCTATAGGGGAGCCTGGGTGAATCAGTCTGTTAAACGTCTGCCTTCGGCTCAGGTCATGATCTCAGGATCCTGAGATCCAGCCCCGTGTCAGCTCCCTGCTCAACGGAAGCCTGCTTCTCCCTCTCCCTCTGCCCCTCCCCACCACTCCCCCTTCTTCCCTCTCAAATGAATTTTTTTAAAGATTTTATTTTATTTATTTGACAGAGAGAGACACAGTGAGAGAGGGAACACAAGCAGGGGTAGTGGGAGAGGGAGAAGCAGGCCTCCCGTGGAGCAGGGAGCCCGATGCGGGGCTTGATCCCAGGATGCCGGGATCACGACCTGAGCCGAAGGCAGACGCTTAACAACTGAGCCACCCAGGCGCCTTCAAATAAATTCTTTAAAATTTTTTTTAAAATTACCCTATGAAAATCTTTGCTTAAAGAATAAATGTTATAACTTCCATTTGGGTTTACTTGAAGTACACCCCCCAAAACAGAATGACCTGAACAGAGTATAATTTTAGTTTATATAGGACCGACTGCTTTCTATCAGAAAGGCTTTACCAGCTTATAATGTCTTCAGCATACAGGCCTACCTAAGTTATTCATTATCAGTACAACATAAGATTTAATGATTTTTATCTAGATAACCATATCATTTCAAACCTCAGAATCCTTATAAATCATCAGCTACAGTTTACAGATTGAGCAAATTGAACCCCAAAAAGGTTGTGACTGGCAAGGAACAAAAAATTGCTTGGCAAACATTTTTTTTGCAGCTTTATTCACAACTGCCAAAACTTGGAGCAACCAAATGTCCTTCAGTAGGTGAATGGATAAATAATCTGTGTTACATCTAGACAGTGGAATATTGAGTGCTAAGAAGAAATGATCTATCAAGCTATGAAAACACATGAAGGAAACTTAAATGCATATTTTAAGCAAAAAAAAAATCTGTCTAGAAAAGCTATATAGCGTATGATTCCTACTATAAACATAACATTTTGGAAAAGGCAAACTATGGAGATACTAAAAAGATCCATGGTTGTCGGGGCTAAGCAGAGAGAGAGGGACAAATAGGTAGAGTATTTTTAGGGCAATGAAACTACTCTGTATGACATTGTAATGGTGAATACAAGTCATTATATTTGTCAAAACCCACAGAATATACACCAAGAGTGAAGCCTAATATAAACTAGGGACTTTGGGTCATAAAGATGGGTCAGTGTAAGTTCATCTTTTGTAATAAATGCACCACTCTGGTGCAGGACTTTGACAGTGGGGGAAACTGAACAGAGGCAAGGGGTATATATTTCTCCTGTACCTTCCAAGAAATTTTGCTGTGAACCTAAAATTGCTCTTAAAAATAGTCTAATTAAAAAAAAGTTAAGGGGGCATAGAAGTAAAAAGACTTAGAAAAAAAGGAATTAGAACCCACTTCTGTTGTTTTTGTTTTTGATGCTTTTACATTACAGTGCTTTTGTATTCATTTTTTTTGCACCATATTTTAAGTAAATCTTTTACTTAAAAAAATGTGCTCTTGAGATGTCTAAGCTATGCTTCATTGCTAGAGAAACTGTATGTTCTTCATAAAGGTTTTCTCTTAATATTTTTACATGTGTGAATTGTTTCTCTCAAACTATCTGTCAAAACAAAATTCTAGGGGCACCTGGGTGGCTCAGTCATTAAGCGTCTGCCTTCGGCTCAGGTCATGGTCCCCATGATCCCAGGTCCTGGGATCGAGTATTGCATCGGGCTCCCTGCTCAGCAGGGAATCTGCTTCTCCCTCTGCCTGCTGCTCTCCCTGCTTGTGCTCACATGCGCGCGCTCTCTCTGACAAATAAATAAATAAAATATCTAAAAAAATAAAACTATTTCTTTAAAAAAAAATCTATTACAGACCATACACATTTCTATCAAATCTTCATCTACTCTGCATAGTAAGATTTTATCACATACGTTGGTAAATTTTTATTTTTTACTTTCCTTTCCACATTTATTTTATTACATTTCATGGTGTCAACATCTTTTATTTTTATAAATTCAAATCTATCTTATTAAATGCAATTATTACTGTATTATGCTAAGTGAAATAAGTCAACCAGAGAAAGACAATCATCATAAGGTTTCACTCATATGTGGAATATAAGATATAGGGCAGAGGATCATAGGGGAAGGGAGGGAAAACTGAATGGGAAGAAATCAGAGAGGGAGACAAACCATGAGACACTCTTGACTCCAGGAAACAAACTGAGGGTTGCTGGAGGGGAGGTGGGTG